CTCATCTCCATTCAAACTTGTCATGGGATCACAACTACTTCAACATCTGCTTACTTCAACACAAATGCCTTTGCTCATGGCTCTAATTCAAACATTTCATCCACCCCATAAGCCTTTCATAAGTTATAGGGAAACAAAAGTGTCTGATTTATCAATCAAAATCTTCTCCATAGCTTAAAAAAGAATTTCAGTCCACAACTCTCCTCATTCCCTCATCTGAGACCTGACTCCTCCCTCTTAGCTGACTTCAATATCTCTTTGCTGTTTTCTGTGCATGTCTTCATCTCTTTCCCTTTCTTTCACTCAGGAGAGAGAACAAAGTGTCTGCAGGTCTCATTCTGGGTAGTGAAAAAATTAATATATTGCCCAAGGTCTGCAGATGGTCACGTGATCCCTGCCGGGTGCTGGCTGGAGCTGTGTGCCATAGAGAGTCTTTTGGGAATCACGCTGGGGCTTGGCCCAGCCAGAAACTGTGATGGCTGCATTCCATTCCAGGGGGTGAGGACCTGGCTCAGCCCCCTCCCTCTGGGCTGCAGGGGCCATGGCAGGCCAGGCCCTGCCTGGAGCTGCTCCCAGGCCCAGTGCTCGGCCCTGGCTGGCAGCAAGATGTCAGCCAAGCCACGGGCCCCCTGGCTGTGCTGGTGGGGTGGGCTAGGATTTTAGCAGCTGAGCAGGCCTTCCCTCTCCCTTTCTATCAAACACTGGGGGCCTCGGCCAAAATGGGGACCAGTGACTTTCTGAACCCTGCATCAGAGCCCACCCGACCCTGCCAGGCCCGGGCTGGTGTTATCTGTTTCAGACCAGAAAGGAAAGGGAGCTTTCCCAGGCTTTGTTCATTTTAAAATGTGTATTCACAGAGGTGTGTTCAGACTTCTCAGTGGTTTAATAGGTAGGTAATTCTAAAAATTAATCCCTGATTGTTTTTGGTCAGACTTTGAGGAAGCTTTCAGAAAAAAAAAAACATTTCCATGAATGTCTCCTTCCTTCCTCACTAAATGTCATATGTGCAAAACCAGCACACCTACACACCTAGTTTTCCTTTTAGCCTGGTTTCCAGTTTATTTTTATAATCAAATCAGCCATACAGAAGCAAATTTAAAAACTGGACAAAAAATTGTAGGGCTTGATGAATAGAGATCCAGGCAGAGCCCCTTCCCAAACCTTCCAACAGCTGTATTTTGCGTACATGAATTCATTCTTGCTGCTCCAAAACTCTGCGTCCTTCAGCATTCCTTAGGCTGACCTGAAAGGCAATACTGCTTTGTTTGACAGATGAGATTTTGCTGTAAATAGAAGAGACTTCCATTCTTTCTAGAGAGCTGGATGGTGTCTCTCATTTACTTTCAGTGTTTTGACACTTCACATTGCAGGGTTCTTTCTTATATTTTCCAGTCTCCCCTTCAGGGACAAATCCTTACAGTCATATTGCTGCTTCCCTTCTTGGTCTGAAAGGTCAGCAGTGGCTGCCCTTTGACAAAGCTATAACTGAGTCTTTCCTCACTTGATGAGTCTGAGGCTGCCAAACTTTTTTGTATAGCCTCTACAATTCTTCATCAGTAATCCTTTTTTATTCTTTTTCTCATCTTTAATGAATAAAGCAAGCCATTGTAATTTGATAGAGGATTTTCATATGTTCCCTTCAGATCTTGTTATAGTCAACCTACCATGTACAGGAATCATTATTTTTGTAGTGTCCCTTAATACATCTGACATCTGCACATTTCAGCCCTGTCAGGTGCTGCATCCTACAGCTCTCCAATGCTGCCTTCAGAGAAATTATTCTTATTACTGCCCTGGATTCCATGTCATTTGCCATGAAATGAAGGCATTATCTGCGAGTTTTTATTCACATATTGTAATTGGGTTTGCAGGCCATAGAAGAACTATTCAGTTAGCGCTGCTCTCTGGAGGAGTCTGTCAGTATAATTTTTGTTTGCTTGTTTGTCTGGTTAAGTCTGACTTTCTGGGAAACAGAAGTCTAAAACCCACTCTCTCCATAACAGTTTTGGAATTTACTAATCCATTTCAGCAAAAGAGTGAAGATCTTGATTAATGTGTTCACTGAAAGAGAAGCTACAGGGAACATTTAGTGCTTATCAGATATTGTAAATTTCTCATCCAGAGCAATACTTATGAAATTCCAGCATCACTTATGCCAGAGAATTTAACCATTAGTCCAAATTCCTCTCTTGTATTGGTTCTCTATCTCCTGAGAGGTGGTCAGCTCATTTTTAACTCTAGTTTATTTCTCTTAACACAGTAAATCAAATTTAAGACATAAGTAGCAGTCAACAGAGCTTTGTAAGATCTGCTGTGGACAAAATACTTGTTTTGGATTGTAACCCAAAATTTGGGTTACCCAAATACAATTCTGCTGCAGAAATATAAGTATACTTAATTAAATCAACAGAAAATTTACAGTGAATGACCATTTTTTAGTTATATGAGACACTTTGGTTAATTTGAAATTGTCATATGTGTAAAGTGTCAACAAATATTTAAATCCATAGTATTCTTTACAATATTCTTGGTGTACATTGTTATGAATGTAGAGGAGAGATTAAACAAGTCCTGCCTTTGACTCAGATTTCTGGCAGTAGGTCTGTTTGGGGTGGCCTGCACCCCAGATCACTCTCGCTCAAATGTTCTTAATAATGGTTGATTACGTCTATTCCAAAATGAGTTATTTATTTCATTGACACAAATTTAAGAGACATAAGACTATAACAGATGACATACTACACAAGATAAAGGAAAGAAACACTAGTAGCAGATAACATACAGTGCACAACTGAGGTACCTAATATTACAGCTAGTGAAGAAATAGTATATATTAGTATTCCATGTATGTATTAGTATATATTAGGATTCCATGTAGCTTACCATCCAATTGCTGATGGGACACACATAGGATCCTTCCTCTCAATTCCCTGGAAAGTAATTGCAGAATTTGCATCTGAACTTATGGGAGAAGTCCTGCACATTTACAGGGTGTGTGTAGGAGGCTTCTACCTCTGTGAAAATGTGTGCAGCTTTTATAGTTAGTAAAGTAATGTGTCTCTCAGTTAGTAATTCCGAGCTTATCTCGCTACATCTCGCTCTCAAGGAGAGATGTTTATTGTCAGCAGGGGATCTCATCTCCCTGGTGCCAGAGATAACTCACTACTGGACATCTGTCCAGCCTGGTTTATCTCACCAATTCCTGTGAGGGGGGAGAATGTCCCAAGAGATGCACCAGCTGATGGACATAGCAGATAAGCTCTTCTGAGGCAGATGGAATATCCTGTTGCATATATATAAGAGCAGGAAAGAGAGTTAGCTAATGATCCTTAGCCTCAAGAAAATATGACCACCACAAACATATGAAAGAACTTTGAAGTTCACCAGGGCAGTCCTACAAAGTTTAACTTACTCCTTCTTTCAACGTGTCTTCCAGAAGAAACTGTTAAAATAAAAGCTCTTTTAATAAACTTTTAGTATTTCTTGATGGCTTTATCAGGTGAATGTGTGCATGTTAGCAACACAAAAGCACTTGCAGATACCCTCTTCTCACTGATATTTTTTTTTCATTTATTTAATATCAATTAAAGAAAAGGAAGACGTGGTTGGGCCAAAATATGCATTTCTGTGACATCTTGCAGCTGCCTTTACAGTGACTCTCGATTGTCAGATAACACAATCACAGAATAGTTGAGGCGGGAAGGAGACTCTGGAAGTCATCTGGTCTAACCACCTTGGTTTCCAGGATAAGATGCTTCATCACTTTCAGGACCCAAGGTGAAACTGACTGGCCTGCAGTTCCCTGTGTCCTCCTTCCTACCCTTCTTGGCTAGAGAAGTGACATTTTCTTTCTGCAGTCTTGCGTCACTTCTCCCAGTCACCATGTTTGACTGTTAGGAGTGGCCTTACAGTAACATCTGACAGCTCCCTCAGTGAGCTTGTGAATGTGTCCTCTCAGGGATCATGGACCATCTATCCAGTTTGCTTAATTATTCCCTGACCTAATCCTCTTCCACCAAGACTACACCTTTCTTCCTCTAGCCTCATCTGTTGTTGTCTGGAATCTGATATTCCTAAATCAGATCAGATGTGGTTGTGTGAATTCATTCAGACTGTTGTAATGGCTGAAACTAGCAGGTCTGATGGATAAACTTGGAAATGCATTTTAAATGGCAAGCATTTTGTGGGTGAAAACACAACTTGAGTAAGTATTTAAGGACATCTTACAACACCTAAGAACAGCAGCTGCAGATTTTCCAGGTGTACCTGTGAATGGGCCAGAATAGGTGGAAAAACTACATGGGATTTTATAGTCAATATTGACAAGATCCAAAATATTAGAGACCATTTTCATGCAGGTCGGTGACCCATGCTGAAAATTTCTCTGTGAGTATAGCAAAAAGATGTGTTTAGCCAGGGTCTTGTACTGATGTAGTTAATTAAAGACATTGCCACTCTGGCTAAGATGCCATTAAAACTGTGCTTACTGTTCCACAGAATTTGACAGTGGATAAATCCATCATCCACTCTCCCAGCTTAATAACCAGCTGTCAAAGTCATTGTAATGTAACACTTTCATTATATCCAGGAAGAAATAGGACACACAAAAGGATAGCAAATGATCCTGGGAAGTCTTTCCCAGACAGATAAATGCTGCTAAGAATAAAGTAAGTTGTTATTATTAGAGCTATGATGCTAATGAAAAGTATGGACAACTCTTGAAGCTGGCTTTTTCTGTGTAAGTTTGTTTTTTCTGGTTTGTTGTGGTTTCTGGTTGTTGTTTTGGGGTTTTTTTTTTTGGTCTTTTTTAGTGCAGAAAACTTAAAAAAAGGTACCCACACAGTTTGCAAGAGTTTGAGATAAATGGTTCATATTATTTATGTAGCAGACATTTTAAAGAAACAGATTAAGAGAAGGTTGTCCAATTTGCTAGTTTAAAACTTTTGAAAAATGGTCACACACTATACCACAAAACTCATGTTTTTTATGTTTTCTTTTAGGAACGTCTCTTGATGAGCCTTTTGCCCAGGAATGTTGCAATGGAAATGAAGGAAGACTTCCTGAAGCCTCCTGAAAGGATTTTCCACAAGATTTACATTCAAAGGCATGACAATGTTAGGTAGGAATGATGTAGCCCATGACATTAACTAAAGAACTAAGAGTATTTAGTACAAGGACAGTGATGTATAATTGCAGTAAGGTTTCAGAGAAAAAAACAAACCAAGCAATATAGTGAAGATTTATCATTTATACAAAGTAGAAGAATGGATGCACTAGGAAGATTTAATAATCTTCTCAGGAGATAAGCCTGAATCAATAAATGTCTTAGAACAGTGGTGCCAGGAGACTGACAACTTTTTCCAAATGACTAGTCATTGGTTTTGTACTGTATTATGTTTTGGGTGAACAGGAGTATTTATTATCCATGGTAGTTTTTACATATTTATATTTTTCTGATATTAAGATGAATTAATTCTAAGTTAATATATTTTCCTGGGTAATACCATGGAAACACAGAAAGAAAGTGTGATGTTAGCTTAAAAAATGTGTATTTGTCCACATCACATGAGCATTACCCCCCAGAGATTATTGACTAAGGCTCAGTTCTACTACTTGCTCTTGTTCAGTAGTTGACTCTGTGCAAGTGCTGTCATTTATATTGCTTTTTCTTAAAGTGCATTCTCATTTGTTATTCTTCTTTGCCTCCAGAACAAATTCCTTAAAGACCTTGCCTGTGTTTTATCACACTACTGCCAATGCCTTGCTTCCACATCAAAAACAGCATCAAAGAAGTTCAGTTGGTGTCATCCTTTTACTAAACAAGGAGCAGTGTTAGTAAGTGATGCCACAGAGCTGCTTTGATTTGCATGGTGTACTCATGTAGCAAAGGAGTAAACTTCAGCACCTCCTCCTCTCCCTCAACCACTGATAAGTTTCTTCTCTCAAGATTTAGTCTACCTCCCATTGAGCTGGCTTTAATATATGCAAGGACCAATTCCTAGTGACTAAGCTGTTGCAACTAAAAGCATCCCTGTCACTAAGGGAACCAGAGATGTCTGTGATGGGAGTGTTCAGAAGACTGCCATATTAGGTCAGTTTTACACTGCAAAATATAACATTACTGAATTAAAAATTAGTAGTTTACTTCATGTTAATGGTTAAATTTTGCATAATATTAATCTCATCAGTTTGCATACAAAACTTGGTCTTTAATATCAGTTTAAAGTTGATTCTAAGTGCACACTGCCCCCAAGCTGATGCTGAAAATGACATTGTTTACAGTATCTGATGGTTCTCAATTGTCAGTCTGACTTGAGAACTCCTGAAGGACACATTCAAAATCTGAGTTGTCTTGCTCCTTCACTTTTACTTGTTTATGTCACATGGCTTTATTCTATTGCCCTCCTCACCAACACCATTTGCACTTTCTTTTCTTGCCAGTCTTCCATCTTTGAATGATAACCTGTCTGTCTATTTTCAGTCACTTTTACTAACCAAGTCTCAACTATGCAAGGTTTTGATGCTTGGGTGTCTTCTACTTTGCCCTTTGGTGATCACATTCCTTAATACACTTATAAAAATTGTATCTAAAAATTATGTCCTCACAGTGCTATAAAACACATGTATACTATTGTTGGTTGCCCTTATATTCAGGGTCAAGGTAAGACTGATAATTATATCATGATTAGTATATTTATATCTTGCACGTGTCACAAGTCCCTGCATTCATTACATTGTGTACAGTCATCTTAGACAGCTTTGCAACTTATTATAGTGCACCTGAGTCGTCTCTTTTGCTAAGATTTTTTTGAAATGCAACCTCAGGAGTATCTTTTTTCCTACATGACATATTTTTTTCACATAACTACTAAAACTGCTGTGGTTTATTCACTGCTTCAATGTGGAGTTCATAAAACCTTTTGAATCCAAACACCCTGTCTGGAGAGGTGAATTCATTCTCTGACATTAAGAAGGTACTTTTGGGGCAAATGAAGCCCAAGTAAGATGGGGTCATTTTAATGTCACAGGTAAGATCCTCAGGGAAGAGAACTGAAAATAGCAGACCTCCCTTCATCATCTGTACTTATAAGAAACTGTACTGCCTTTAAGTCATGCAAGTGGGGTGAAATAGTGTCCAATAAGTACCCAGCAATCTGTGGCTAGCATGTCCCAGTAGGCCAGAGTGTCACCCCGAAGTTTTGTGACTGTGTAGATCTGAAGGATGAAGGAGAACTCCCAGCAGGTGCCACCCTGACACCAGTGTGAAGAGCAGCACTGCAGCATCCCTTTGGCAGGACTGCTGGTGGTCAGTGCCAATAGTATTTGCTTTACTTTCTAAAGGAGATGAAAACAACTTTTTTTTCTTCTAGGCAGTGGCAGTTCAGTGCTATAACAGGTAAACCTGAGAGATCATTCCTGTATTCTTGTGAATTGTCCTCTTTACATCAAGTGTTCTTTAAAGTGCTGCTATTAAAACAAACCAACGAAAAGCCCCTCTATAATTCTATATTCCAGGGTTTTTTAACTCCAAAGCTACACAGTGGAAAATAGAAAATGAGCTGCTCTTTTAGTTTTCCTCTTGCAATGCTTTCTTTTTCTGCAAATACCTGAAAGTATCAGAGCATTATTCTTCAGAAAAGATAGTCTGAAGGAGGCAGGCATGCAATTAGTAAACTACTAATAATTTTTCCATTCCTTAGCTGTTGAAAAACCAACAGCAAATAATATCCTCATAAGTATCAGAAAGCATCTGTTTCAGTCTTCTGAATAGCTGCCTGAAAAAAAAAAATAAATTTAATCTTCCATGTGAAAAACAATGCATTCATACAGCTACCTTCTTAACCTCCTCCCAGAAAAACACGTTAGAGTGGAGATGCACATACCTCTGTAAGAAGTGAATGATGGACTGGGAAAAAGTACTGGCCTGTTTCAGATAACCATGCCAACAGCCCTGGTTTATCAATTAGTTGGTGAATATTTTATCAACTACCCAGTAGTTGTTGAATGACTGCCTGCAACTCACTGAGCCTCTGGAGGGAAATGTGTCATCCTTTGATCAGCTCTTCCCAGATCTGTAGTACATCTGCTACCTTGTAAAGTTTTTGAACAGAATTGCTGTGCAGTTAGAAATGAGGGCATGTGTTTTAAATGGAGACAAATAACCTAATGCAAATGCACTATGTAAAACAAGATATGCAAATACACATCCAATATAGCATTAGCCCACTGAGGACAATAAATTCAACAATCAGGAAACTAAAATAATTACAGCTAATGTAATACCTGTGGTTTATCAGAAGGAAATAGTCTATATACAGTCCACCAGCTGTTTCAACACATTACAAGTGTTATTTTACTGGGGTAATCCCAGATAAGGACACCATGAAAGATGTGGGAACCAGATGTCAACTTATATGTAAAGGCTACCCAACAGACCAGCTCTTCTGTGATGCTTAGAAATATGTTTTGTAACATGGAGACATGCTTTTTCTAAAATTAGGTTAAGACATTTAAGATTCATATTTCCTTGTTTCCTTATTCCTACAGGGTTGAGAAATTTACAGATCACATATGTAGGTACAGCATCTGTTGTAAAAACTCACTAGTCCTGACTGAATCTCTCCATGGACCCATAATTCAATTAAGAAAATTTCAAATTGAGTTTCAGCTCAAATATATGCCCTGTATGGAAACCTCAACACATTTTGTTGTTTATCTCTTTTGGAATGGACATTAGATATTCCTGAAACTGTTTCAACTCATGGATGGATAATGATATGGATGACTTCCTATATTACCACACAGCTTCTTGCTTCATTCTGACTCAAACAATGTTGAAGAGATTAAAAGAAAGTGAACATTGAACAGCTAAAAATTTCTTGGGCCTCTGATACTGCAGTTTCATTTAGCCTTATTTTTACAAGCATGAAATAGAACTGGATGCTTTGTAAGAAAAGATATTAATTTTAGGAAACACAGTGCCTGATTTCAAAGCTAAAAAGATAAAAAGATTCCTTATGGCATTTTAGAGGATCTTGAGACTCAATCTAAAGCCAGAACATAATCTGTAGATATTTATGAGCAAATATTTCTGGTCTGTCCTGTCTTTCAGAAAACATCAGAACTTAAATAATTTTAAATTTAACTTACCTATTCCAACGTTTTAAAAAGCTGTGATCATGATGCCTATGAACAGACTTTTGTATGCAGTCTTTCCGAACTTGTAAGACTTCACAGTGAACTAGTTTCTGTAAATTAGTATTAGCAAAAAACACAGCCTGCCTTTGTTTTTATTTTTAATAACTCTTTTTATTTTAGAAAGCACTTTTTTCTCAAACATTGAAGTGAGTAATACATAAAATTATTGCTAAACTTCCCTTATGCTTGACCTTTGAGGCAAAAAGAGTCCTACAGGTTCCTTTCTGAGGCACCAGGTGCCATTAAAATACCCTTTTTACTGTAAGTTGTACTTTAATTAAACAAGTGGCCCAAATGAAAATAAAAATCAGAGCATACAAACCCCCCTTACTTTGCAGAGTACTTGTTTATACAAGTGGCTCCATTGAAAACAGCAGGACTATTCAAGTGCACAAAGCACATGAATGAGTACTGTTAAAAGTGAACGTTTACTACTACAAGTTGTCAAATCTCTTGTGTAACTTGGCAGAATTTCTCCTTCTGAATGCCCCATAGAGTGACATAGAAAAGAGCTGCTCTGTCAATACTCACACTTGGGAAGCAGCTTAAATCTCTTAAACCAAGTCCCAGGCTTTCTGCACTCAGGTCTAGCAGGTGCAGCTGCCTCCTGCTGTGGTGCAGGAGGGCTCCAGTCACTGTGCAGGTGCTGGCTATGCCTGCCTGCAGGAATCACAGGGGGAGAAAACAGGAATACAGAAGGTCCTGGAGTCATAACTCTGGGCTTGTTAACACAGAAATGTTTCAGATTGTCAAGGAGTGTGAGATAATGATGTATGTAACTTGTATGCCAGTGCTGAACCAGCTTGTCTCTGTGACAGAGGAGATAAATGTCTGTTTATACTTTTTCCTTTCCTGAACTTGCTCACTGTACTGCTGCTTGGCTTTTGTTCAGAATTTATATAAGTTAGAGATAGCTGTTGG